GTCTTGTGAGAGAATCCAGAGCTGGTTGGAATTGCATGTTGCATCTTCTATAACATTGTTGAGGATATGGATTGGAAACATGTATATTTATATTATTAGATTTATTTTGTATAATTATTTTAAATTATACCAAAATTTATCTAAATTGAAGTGCTCACGTAAAAATTTTCATTCTATACTATTTTCATCTTATAAACTTTATTAATGACACGAAAAGAAATCTATATTAGAATTCTATTATGTTTTTAACTTGGAAAAGATTTATTAATTATGTATATAGGAATTCTATCTAAAATTATCATTTAGGTGATTTTTTGTATAAAAAAGTAAACTATTCAAAATACCAAGTATATAGATTTGTAATGACACGTAAAAATTTTTATTCTATACTATTTTCATCTTATAAACTTTGTTAAGACACGAGAAATCCATATTGGAGTTCTATAATGTTTTTAACTTGGAAAAGGCTCATTAATTATGCATATAGGAATTATATCTAAAATTATCATTTAGTATTAATTTAGGTGATTTTTTGTATAAAAAAAGAGGGATAATAAACTATTAGGTCAAATATTGAGTTATACAGATTTGTAATGACATGTAAAAATTTTTATTCTATACTTTTTTCATCTTATAAACTTTATTAATGACACATAAAGAAATCCATATTGGATTTCAATAATGTTTTTAACTACTTGGAAATTATTATTTAGTATTAATTTAGGTAATTTTTTGTATAAAAAAGGAGGGATTTAATAAATCATTCAGTCAAGAAATTACAGATTTTGTAATAACACGTAAAAATTTTCAATCTATACTATTTTCATTTTATAAACTTTATCAATGAAAAAAAATCCATATTGGAATTTTACCGTATAAATTGAATTTTCTTTATTCCCACATTATTTTTTATGATCAACTGTTAAGATAAAAAAGTAACAAACCATATTTCTATAAGTATTTGTTTGAAAATATATTACTAATACAGATAATATGATCTGAAGTCTTAATGAAATAGGCACTTTATGAAAATCACATAGCATCAATAATTATTTTATGAAACAAAAAGAAACTTGACTGTGTTAAAAAAAAAAAATATAAATACTAAAATAAAATTTAGTATCATTATTCTTAATTAAAATTGATAAAATGCAAACTCATAGGGGTGAAGTAACTATATAATTCAATAGCATTATTGAAAAATATTATATTAAATCTCTTGATACAAAATATACCAATAGAAGGAAATTTGAAATGAAACTTTTCGATTTTCTTAAATGTAAAGGATATAATATGATGCTTTCTGATAGCCATCCAATGAATTCAAATTTCAGATTTTTTAATCTAAATATAGAATCACAGGAGATAGAGATCGTGATCTTATTGGTAATAAAAATGGAATACAAATTATTGTACAAGCTAAATCTAGTGAAACAGGTAGATATCCAAAACTTGAAAAAGAATATAAAAATTTATATGGAATATGGAAAATTGAAGACCTGCTAAAGAAATAGGAATTTTCGTTGTAACAGATGAAATTAATATAAATGCATTAAAAGATATCACTTCAACTAAACACAAAATAATTATTTGCCACTTCAATGAACTAGATGGATATATTGAACAAATAGAACAGAACATATGAGAGAAATGTTAAAATTACATAATGATATTTCTAATGCAGAAAATTGCATTGATAACTCAAATTCGATAGAAGAACTTAAAGATAT